GAATTCTCACAGCTAATACAGGTATGGATCAAACTAACAGAATTCTGGGCCAAAAACAACACCAGTTCAAGTTACATCATTTCTTTATAAAATCTGTTGCCATTCTTGCAACACCTCATTATTAGTATGCTACCATTTGAAATTTAGTATGGAAAAAAAAGCAGCCCTGTACTTCAGAAGTGAAAGCATACAGCCTGTGTAGAGCACCAGCTAACTGTTATAATTAACATAGCAATCTGTGCACAACGTAGGCTAGCTGTCAAGACACACAGCACCAGGGTTTCAATTGATCCCTGGTATCAACAGAAAGACTGGCTCACCAGAAATATGAAAATTTTAAGTCAGATTTTTTTTTTAGCCTGTGTCATTATAGAGTGTCCATAAAAAATCAGGTTCAAGATCACCTGCCTGATATTCCCCTGCCCAGAACTGGTGATGATAAAACACATGACCCCAAAATCAGCACATGTGGGACGGCAAACGGAAAGCTGCACACCCACTTCTTTTTTTGGACATGGAGAGCAGTGCTAGGGATGTGTCCACTGAATCTTTCATACAGCAGGGAAAACAGCACAGTTTGAAATACTTCCTCAGTGTTCAACCTTCCTTTATTGCCTCTTGCTCCCTGGAATAAACCAGACAAAGATCAAGCAGGTGCCCATGCATCATGTCTGTGTCTTTGAAGTCTCTACATTTTTAATGTGTTTTAGAGCACTTCAGATAAAATCCAATGGATTTTAGAAAACTAAGTATTACTGCCTTTGAAGCAATAAGCAATATTTAATCACCATGGAAACACAGCTGCTGGGAGTTTATCTAAAATGTCCACAAAAGTAACTGCAAGGAAGGAACACACTGTCATTGTAGCACAGGTCTCATAAAGGTCCATTTAAATAGGTAAATTCAGGTAAAAAAAATCTCCATTAAAACTTCCAGTTTTATTTGCACTGCTAGTCCTCCTCAAGGTGTTACAGAAAACCCAAATTATCCAGGGACGTTTGCTTCATGTAAACAGCCAGATCTTTGCTTGATGACCAAAAAGTAGTCTGGTCACACAAGTAATAGACATTTGAAGCATGGTTTACTTATGCATATCCTTGTACACAAACTTGTATTAAAATTAATATTTTAAGTAGAACTGCACAGAAACTACTTAGCTCTGACCCATGACTGATGAAGGGAACAAATGGTAGTGGAATGCAGAGAGAAGGGTTTAATGCAAAAATCATAAAAGCTAGGAAAACAAAGACAATGACACAAAGTAACATAGGGTGGTGAATGAAATTAGTCAAAAATTTAATAACCATTTGGTGGATTTTGATCTAAGTTCAAAATTCCTTTCTGGAAACTTTCATGTTATCACAAATAACCTAGTAGTAAAAATAAGACATTTTTGAGACACAGCTTCAGATACTATTTATTGTGAGTCTTTCTCTTCAGAGGCAGGATACAGCACAGATATTATGTTGTAAAGATTTCTGGCAGAAAATTGCTACATTTAAATTATCCACTGTAATGGCTTCCTTATTTGTTCCAAGTTAAATGTTGGTACATCTCTTAATTTTTCAACATCATTGTAGCACATGGATTGCTCTCTGTCAATGACTCCTTCATTTGCAATTGCTGTGCTGCATCAAGCATTCATATTTCATGCTCAACTTTTTCCCACCATTGTTTTTTATGTGGTTAAATTTAATATATAATTTGTTTAAAATGGCAAAGATTTTTTCCTCCTATAGAAGTCCTCCTGAAGAGGACTCAATCAATTAAGAATTTTTAAGGATTCTGCTTTATTTTTTTTCTCTGTGCAAATTTTTGAAAAGTTATGAACGTACAATGTGAAGTTTTTTTGTGTTTAAATCAACTTTTTTAAATAAATGAAATTAATTTTTTCACTACTTTTTTGTATTTCTGAACTACTTAAATCTATTATTCTTTTTTCTCCTTCTAATCATATGATATTTATAAATTCTGCAAATTGCTGAGCAATTTCTGGGAGATGAATTATGTTTCATTCCTTTTTTATTTATGGAGTATGTGATATCCATTAAGTCACTCAGTGTTTCATTCAATTAAGTTAGAGTAAATAGACATCAACTTTTTCAAGCAAAGTCCAATCTTCTGACCTCCATTACAGTTATTGCTTTGGCAAACACACTTAAGGCTGCATTCATAACATGTGTTCTCTATCTTGCAATTAATTTTCAGTAGTGTCCCAAATGCATGAATTAGCTTGCCTAGAGCACCAAAGTGTGATTGATTAAGCTTCATGATAGATGATTTTAATGCATTTTGCTTTAATACTTGGGTTTAAATTATGGCAAAGCCATCAAGGTGATTAGTTTAGGTGTGGCAGCTTCTAATAAATGTACTTAGCATAATTGATTGTCTGTGTGACTCAGCTAATTCATTAATTGATTATGAAATGCTAAAACAGCAATGCAATATGTTTAAAAGGAATTACTTTTGCTCTTTCCTTTCTACATATTTTATTTTATGTAAGTAAAGTATTGGCTGGGACCCACAATGCAGATCAGCTTAGCAAATGGAAGGCAGAGTCTGATTCTGCCACTTTGCCCTATTTGGGATCATACCCACCTCCCAGGCAATCTCTACCAGTAGCTGTGAGTACTAACATCAGACAACACACCTTAGGTTACTCACTGGACAGCAAAAGAATGACACTGTACTTCGCTTAGAAGCACAAGGTGAGAAAAAACTTGCAGAGCCTTTCCTGCATTCCCTTCAAAAAGCAGCTCATAGAGGATACTATAAAATCTCTGAAGCAGAAGCCCTAATTTATAGACTGTGAAGCAGATAGCACATTTTTATCAGTTTACCAATAATAAATAAAAATTGTGACCTCACTCAGTGTCATAGTTACTGCAACTCGTGCACTGTGCTGTTCTGAAGACTTCACCCTGTGGAAGGAGCCCGCACTGGAGGAGTTAATGAAGCAGCCCATGGGAAGGACTCACACTGAAGAAGTTGGGGAGGACCCCATGCTGGAGCAAGGGAAGGACTGCTCTCCCTGAGGAGAAAGGAGCAGAAAAAAAATATGTGATGAACTGACCATAAATCCCATTCCCCATCTCCCCAGGCTGATGATGGGGAAGTGGTAGAGAACTGGCAATAAAATTAAGCCCAGGAAATAGGGAAATAGAGGGAGGAAGGTGTTTTTAGGATTTCTTTTACTTTTCATTATCCTGCTCTGATTTTGATTGGTGATAAATTCAACAGATTTCCCTAGGCTGGCTGTTTTGCCCATTGGTGAATTATTCCTCCCTGCCCTTATCTGAGCCCATGAACATTTAATTGTATTTTCCCTCTGCTGCCCAGATGAGGAGGGGACTGGTAGAGGCTTTGGTGCATACCTGTCACTCAGTCAGGGTCAAACCACAACAACACCTAAGAACAGCAATGTATGTGAGTTCTGAGATGGATGTAAGGGAAAGAGATCCCCTTGAATGCATACAAAGAAGGTTTGGGGAGTAAAGAAAATAACAGAAGTGAGAAACCAGTGAGGTGACGTTGTGTGGATTCTAAGAGCAAAGAAAGAAGATTGTTTATTTAGAAGTCAGTGGAAATTCAAGGTTTGATGTGGTGCTTTATATAGTCAGCATTTTTCCAACAGAATTTGCAAGGCACTAAAGAAAGAACAGGGAATTGCCATATCAAAAGTGGTAGTACAAGCCTCATGAGTAAGGTAGAAATCAGCTTTCCATAGGGGAAAAAAAAAGAAACACAAATATGTTCATTATTCTCTACTTTAAGGATGGTGAAGCACTGAAACAGGCTGGATGGGGTTTGAGCCACCTGGTCTAATGGAAGGTATTGCTGCCAACAACACGGGGGCTGTAACTAGATGACCTTTAAGGTCCCTCCAAATCCAATTCTTTGGTTCTGTAAATAATTATCTTTATACTACATACAACAGATTATAAAATTATTATTATTACTTTTATTATTATATATTACTATTATAATTATTATTATTATTGATATTGATCCATTTAAAAAGAATATTATAATTATAATGTCATAGAGTAGATTGATATATTTACTTCTAAATATTTATAATATTTTATTATATTACTCTAAATAACCATTTGTCTCTTTCAATTAATTTTAAAACTTTTTTTAAAAATTTTGATTTGGATAAATAGTTTTTCTGATGTTTTCTTTGTTCAGACTTAGACTCATTTTTACTTACAATGCTCCTGTTTCTTTTCAGTTCTCAAGGTCTGTATGACATCCTTGGACTTCAGTGAAGAATTTTTCATTTACTTCAGTAAGGAATTAGGGAATAGAAAGATTTATAAAGGAATGAATATGATTTTCCTTCTTTCTACCATCATGAGTCTCCTGAGAAAGAGCACTGCATCATACAAATATAAAAGTGCACCTAATATTTCCTAACTATTTTCAGTACTTGACAGTAAAAGATAAAATTGTCTGTAGGGAAATACATAAAAATAGTGTGAAGCTTCAGACTCATAAATGTATTTACTTGGTAAGACTCTGCTTGTTGTTTTATTACTTGGAATAGAAAGTGTTCCTGTTTTATAGCACTATTGAAGTTTCAGAAATTTAAACAAATTGTATTTTTTCCCTTCTATGACTATATAATTCATCAAGCCAGGGTCTTGCTCAGTTTATTACATTATTTTTCCATGCATGAAAATCCATTTGCTGCTCTGGTTCTTATTGAAAACGGTAATTTCCTGGGTGGATGCACATCTGTTATCATTTCAGAGTCCAGTGTGATGAGCCTGAGTGCAAAACCTCTTCTCAATGACACTAGAGCAATGGTAGTACTCTCTTTGTTTATAGTTTACTGAAACAAACCCAAGAAAATAAAACTAAAATAAAATAAAATAAAACCTTTTCAACACTGGAAGATATTAAGCATCATTTCTGCTCTTTTCATGTTGCTGTTTCTTTTCTAAGTCACAGAATCATAAGGACTACAAATGAATCAATGAGTCAGATATACACACCTCATAGCAGAAGAATACACCAACAGAATAATGGAGGCTCAATCAATCATAATTTTGCTGTTGACACCATGGGCAGAAATTTCCTAGAAGCAGGTAAAAAACAAAACAAAAAAAGAATATCAGAATTTTTTTCATATTAAAAATTTGTGTCTGTGCATGAGTGTTAGGTGTGTGTTAGGAAAAAAATTTAAAAAAACTTTTCAAAATATTATACCTTTAATGAAACATTTTGTTTAAGCAACTTTCAGAGCAGAAATCATAGAATCATAGAATATCCTGTGTTGGAAGGGACCCAGCAAGGATCATGGAGTCCAATTCCTGGCCCTTCAGGACACCCCCAGGACTCACACTGTGTGCCTGAGAGTGTTGTATAACATTCCTTGAACTCTGTCAGGCTTGGTGCCATGACCACTTCCATAAGGAACCTGATCCAGTGCTCAACCACCCTCTCATGGAAAAACCTTTTCCTAATATCCATCCTAAACCTCTTGACAGAACTTCAGGCCATTCCCTCAGGTCCTGTCTCTGGTCACTACAGAGAGGAGATCGGTGTCTGCCCCTCCTCCTGCCCTCATGAGGAGGTTGTAGACCACAATGAGTTCTCCCTCTGTGTCCTCCTGTCCAGGCTGAACAGACCAAGTGACCCCAGCCACACCTCCTATGGCTCCCCCACCATCTTTCATCATCCTTATGGGCTTTGGACACTCTCCAATAACTTGATATCCTTCTTAAACTGTGGTGCCCAAAAATGAACACAGATATCTATTAAAAAAGGTTTATTATTTCTTAAGTCAAGAAAGCTTCCAGATGAAGGAAAAATAATGCATTGTGATGTATAGCACTGCATAAAGTGGTAATCCAATTTATATTTTGCTCAAACAGACTTTATTATTTAGTGAGAAGCAGCACATTCAAAAGCAGAGTGACCTTCAGTAACATATGGGGATATTTTCAAGGAGAACACTGACTCCACAAAGGATTTTCATTCTGTTGTATTTCCTTCCATTCCTTCAGAAAGTCAGAATGACAGGAAAGCCACTTCAAGAGACTTCTTTCTGTACAAAAACATATTTGGGGCAGAACATGGAGCTCACAAGTATGTAACAAGTCCTGGTGATGAATGAAAACGTCTAGAAAACAGAAGGTTAACTATCTCAGTGCACAATCTTGCAGCCCTGCCGTTGCTTTCAGCAACCCAACAATTAGTCTTAATAAGACAGCAAGTATTCCATGGGGAAATAAAGACAAGAAAAATTGACAGCATGCACCTGCTTCTCTATGGAAGAAGAGCTCCTACCTGTATCAAGGAGAAAGATTGCGAGCTGGACTACTGTGTCCCCAGAGTGCAAATGAGCAACTTTCCTTTTGTCATTGATACTGGGTAGTAGTAATTCCCTGTGTGAATATAGAATACATTTTTAATTACTGAAAACATTTTTTGCACTAGTCAAAAAACATTAGATTGCTAAGAAGTACAGTTTCATCAATTGTTTAAAACTAGAATATATTCTAGTCCTGACCTTAAAAAAGTCAGGTTTTTTTCAGATGGCAAACTCATTCTGCCTGATAACACTGGTTTTCCTCCTGCAGCAGAAGTATAGGAATTCATATAGATCTTGCTTATTTTATACTGTATAAATAATCTATCAATGACCTTTTCCAAATTTGCAAGCCAACTGCACCACAGGAAATCACAAAACATGGAGTTGTTATGGGGAATGTACTACTAACATGATGCAGAGCATGCTCTGTGAAGCATACTGCTTCTGGTTTGATCAAGGTTAATACCTGAAAATTTGCTTCCAATACACATTCTCTATTCTATTTGGGAGATGGACCTATGTTCTCAGACCAGCTTACTCATAAAAATAACCATACCAAGAGAATCAAGATACCTCTTACATCTTCCCACATGGATTTCAGTTATGCTAGAAAATTAAATTCTTCAAAACGGTGTTTCCAAGATAGAATGTCATCTACTATTCATGAAAACACACAATTTTGATCTTTACATGTTCTCTGGTTGAAATATTAACTTAGAAGTAGCCAGATCAAAAATGGTTCTTTTATTGGCATGCATTTCTCAATACACTTGCAATTACTTCTCATTTCACTGCGTGTACTTCTGCAAATCCATAACATTTTCTACCAAAACAGATGAATTCAGGTCATTTTTATGAAAATATTTTTATTGGTCTTATTGTAGCTAGAAAAGCATAAAATTTAGCCCAGCTGCTTTTCTCCTGTGTTTCAACACATTGTCACTTCTGTCAAGCAAAGTACAGACGACAACAGTGTCAGTAGACTTTACTGAAAGATTAATGGACCCATCTGTCAGTATACTTTTTTCCTAGTCATATGCTAGCTTGAGTCCTGGTATCTACAAAGCATCTCAATACACTGAAGTTTATATCCACTGTACACCAAAGGGAAAGGAAAGAATCCTAAGAAAAAGGGTCTTGCCACCAAGCAACCAATACCTGTAAAAAAAAAAAAAAAAAAAAGTTTTTTAAAAGTAAGTAGTTTCCTGTATTACTTACTAAATCCAGAGGAAAATAGTAGCAAAAAAAAAAATCAATCTAAGTTAAAACATAGTGTTAAGAACATTTCCTTCTGGGCTGTTTCACTTGCAGAAACAGACTTTTAGAAAGAGAGAACAGAAACTATAAAAGCTGATGCCCTCTTGTACATTGACAGAGCTGAGGTCCTAGAGCTGCTCAGTCCCTCACTCCCTATCCCATGAGCAGACGGCTGAGACCTGTTCTGTTCCATTCTTCAGGGGCCAGAGGCAGCAGGAAAACCAAGAGCATTTTAGAAATCAGCTTCTTCAAACAAACCTGAGGCAGCAAACAGTGAAGTATTTTATCTGGTTCCTTGTGACTGTTCAGTGATTGCCCTGCAGATCTTATGAAAGTCAGTGGGAACTGGAACCCTAATTTCCACTTTTGTTCACCAAAAGCTCACTGTCTTGGGCCACACTGTGCCATTATCATACAAAAAAAAAAAAAAAAGGTCCTTTGCTACACATTTAAATTCCACACAATTTCAAGACAAAAATAGACCAAAATAGTGAGAAAATCATATTGAATGACTATCAAAGCGCTGTTTCTACCACTGGAGTTTTCTGAAGTCTAATTCTATCTTTCCAAAGTCTGATCCCATTTATTTTCTTGTGGAAATATTAATAAATTTCCATATTTCAACACAATACTATGATATCCTAAATATTAAGTTTTAGCTGAGAGAGCATGAATACTGTAATTATGTCAAAGCAAGTTTCATAAGTCAAGGAAATATTGTACTCTTTCAATGCACAACCACAATGATAATAATAAACCTGAAGTTCAAAGAACTTGAGTGTGTGAACACTATAGTCTAATCCTGTATGGTCCTGGTGTTACAAATAAGTACACTGTGCAATTAACAAGATATACATTTTAACATGCAAGCCCTGATTGGATGAAATTATTTTTAAAATAATTTCATTAAGGGGGAGGGGAAAATAGTTTAAATTTTCCCTTATAATGCTACACTTCGAATGTCACATCTTTAATCTCCAGTATCTCCTCAGGCCAAGTAATTTACAATTAGGAAAGCAACAGCAGAGCTGTTGCTGAATCAGCAGGTACATTGCCCAGCTCCTGACACATGAGGCTCACAGCCCCTCCCAGTCAAAGAATCACATGCAAACCGCCTACTGAGAAAGGTCAATAGCTGGCTGAATCACCTGCTGTGGCTCAAAAAGCCTCAAGTAAATACTATACAACACAGCTGAGACAAGGAGAAATATATCTATCTTCCCAGTGTTCATTTTGGGCTATTAATTAATCAACTCTATCTACAAATCCTTTCATTTGCTGCCAGTGGGAAGTGGTGGGGTTCCCCAGAGATGGGCTGGACGTGTCAGTCCAGCTACAGCCCCAACATGCTGCCTCAAGGAGCCTCTCCCTCTTCCCTGACAGCAGGGGGACATGACACAACCTAACCTCCTCCTAAGCTTAGGTGCCTGCAGCAGACATTCCTCAAAACCATAACAATAAAAAGTTAAACTGCTTTGCTCTCTTCTATCTGTAGATCTATTTCAATCTTACTGTTGGTGAACTCTCTCCCCCTTCCTTCCAAAATTCTACTGGCAGCTTTTTTTTTTTTTGTCCAAACAGTATTTTATCTGATAAAGTTTTGATACCTGTGCAGCCATTTTTCAACTTATACTTTTATGGACTGAAAAAACTCAAGGCTCAAGAAAGGTTGAGTTTTTTCATCATCGTGCTTATTATACAGGTTTAAACATCAAAGGGATATCATCACACTTAACTTTGATCATGCACTCTTGGGTGTGGTTTTCTCTTTCACTCAGCTGTTTGGCGTCAAAAATACAGTGGTTTTCCAAGTGGAGAATCTATTTCCACTGCACTTTAGATAATGTAAGGTACAGAAGGGCGTCCTAGCAAATTAATTGCAGTTTAGACAATGACCAGTTTTCAGTGAAGTACTGTCTTTAAAGAAATTTAATTGCTTGGAATACCCTGATTTTATGCATTACTACCCAGATTCTCACACTCTCCTGGAATAGTTCAGGCAGACAAAAAAAAGTTCATAATTTAAAAGGTTTTCCATTGTCATTTTGTACCATTTAATGTAATTTTGGGGCTATGTGTGCTCATTTATCCCTGTACAACATAATGCCTTTGGGTGTTTATTAACACTGTCTTTGACAATGTCCAAGAGATTGATGTAATTCCCAGGAAAATTATTTTGATACTGCTAGGACTTATCATTTGTCATGGAACTAGTGCAGTAGTTCACCTCCAAGAGTAGCTCCCCCCTACATTTCACAGACATCAAACATCTTTTCAATATCTCACATTAAAATCTCATCAAGAATACTGTAAAACCAGCTTAGAGTCTTCCAGTCAAAATGTTATGAAACCCCACAACAGCAAGTCTGCTCATTATGTAATATATTGCTATGAAAGAAGTGAGAATTGTTGAGAACAAATTGGATCACATTTTGTTTCTCTGCTCTGCTGGAATTCTCTCGGGGTTCATTACTAGATCGCTACAGAAAACAGCAATCCCAGAGATCATACTGGAGAACATAATTTTCCTTAATTATTCCTTAACTAGGCTGCCCAGATTGATCTTGAGGTGAAGGCAGTAGACTCCCACAGCCTGATATTTAAGTAGTAATTTTACTTGCTTTCAATTTTACTTTTGTCCTGCTGGCACTAATAAGTAAAGTTTATTATTCATGAAGTGCATTTACATTTTGTACTAGCACACAACAAGGCCCTTTTACACTGTACTGACAGGGACTGGAATTCACATATATTCCCTTTAAGATGACATTTCCAGGAAGCAGCAAGTAATAACTCAAAAAAAAATTTAAAAAGCTTAATTGAGTACTTCAAACATGCTTATCTATTGTTCTGAGGAAAATTTTGGTCCAGCTGTGAAAGAGCCTAAGTATTCACATGTCAAACCAACAGCGACACCAACTTTCCTAGCGGGGTGCAAAAAATCCATAATAGTTTTTCAAACTAATAAAATACATAAGTATAAGCTTTCAAGCTTACAGTTCAGCAAATGAATCAGCACTTGGAAGAAATGGTAAAAAGAAAACAAGATCAAAATAATTTTTATTACAGAATCAATTTTTTTATGAGGCAATTTTATCACATTGGAAGTGTTTTGAATATCAAAATATATTAAGCAAGGACCTTGGCAGTCTACAGGTGGTTCCTGTGGAATGGAAAAGTTATTTAAGGCTTATAAATTAAATATGGGACTGCTTTTGTTTGCTCTGATGATGCTGTTCTCTTCAGTGGTTTTGAATGAGGCTGAAACATAGACCATTCTTTTGATGCAACAACCACATCTAATTTCAAATTGTCCATTATGCCAAACCAAGGGTAGAATAATTCACTTGTATGCTAAACATATGTCAAGAAACATGCCACAAACAGCTTTTAGACAGGTAACAATGGTGAACACTTATTTCCCTGCAGTTCATCTGCCTCATCTTTTTGCCCATGAACTTAAAGTTTGATCCATAAGCTAATGAAAATTTGCTTTGAAATTCATTTTTTGGGCACTTTTGATAAAAGACAGACAAAACTTTCATTTGGATGTGGTTCAGTATAATTGGAAAATAGTTTTACTTACCCTGGTATTACCATGAAGGTAGTTTTCTCAAGTTTGGATCCTATATGGCAGCATTTTAATAGTGTGGCCTACCACAATTTAATAGCAAGTCCCATTAAAGATGGAGCCCTGTGATAGACAGTCTCAATTCAGCACATACTAAAAACAAGCTCTGTCTTTCAGCTCTGAGTGCCACATCCAGGAGGGGATTTACTGTGCCATGCTGCAGACACATGAGTTTGTTCCATGGG